TACATATGGAATGTCCAATTTCCTTAAGTATTAAGTTTGACAATTGATATCTCTGACATTTCACTTTGACACTTGTTTTATTTTTATTGTGAAGGTATATCTTCAGTCTTTCAAATGTAAATTTTGGCTTGTGATTATCTTTCAAATTTTTTTAGAGCAATTTTTGTGAAACCATGAATAAGCCAAAAATTCATGTTATTTTTGAATATGAGTTTCATCGTGGAACCAATGCAGCACAGACAGCTCAAAATATCAATGAAGCGTTTGGGAAAGGTGTGGCTAATGAACACACAGTACGTCAATGATTTGAGAAGTTTCATTCTGGTGATTTTAATCTTGAAAATGAGCCACATCAGTGACTTGAGACCAAGGTGGATAATAATGAGCTGAAAGCTGTAGTGGAAGTGAATCTATCTCGACCTATTCCTGAATTAACAGCAAGGTTTGATGTTACTATTCCAACAATTTTGTAACATTTGAAACAAATAGCCAAGGTAAAGAAGCTGGATAGATGTGTACCGCATGAATTAAATGAGCATCAAAAGAGAAATGGTCTTGAAGCTTGCCTTTCTTTGCTCTCACAACATAATGGTGAACCATTTCTACACCATATTGTTACATGTGATGAAAAATGGATTCTTTTTGACAATCGCAAGCTTTTGGCACAATGGTTGGATAAAGATGAAGTGCCGAAACACAGTCAAATATCCATTGAAAAAAAGCTAATGGTATCTCTTTGGTGGCCCAGAGCTGGTATTATCCATTACAGCTTCATGAAACCTGATCAACCCATTACAACAGATGTCTACTGCTGGATGAAATGATGAAGATGCTTGCGATTAAGCAAACAAGATTGATCAATAGAGACAGGCCAATCCTTTTGCAAGACCACATGTCACAAAAAACAATGCTGCTCAAACTACAGAAGCTCAATTTGGAAACTCTCTGTCATCCGCCATATTCCTCAGACCTTGCATCACCTGACTACCACTTCTTCCAGGCTTCAGACCACTTCTTGCAAGGAAAAATATTCAATTCTCAACAAGCTGTGGAAAACACCTTTCATGATTTCATCACCACTTCTTTCCAAGCTTCTTTGCTGCTGGCACAAGCAAGCTACCATTAAGATGGCAAAACTGTGTCAATAGTTTAGGCACATACTTTAATTGCACTGCTTCTTGTTTAAGATACAATAAACTAAATTTTTGATTTGAAATTGGACATTTCATATTTAATGACCTAATGCTATGAGTTTATGTACTCTAAGCTGGAGAATACTGATGGGCAAGCTGTTGAGTCTCAGAACACAAATTGAATCCCTGGTTGAGAATTTCTACAAGATTGCGGTGTTTGTCAAGTTCAAAGGAAATCACCATTCACTAGGGATAGTAATTAAGAAAAAACTTCAAAGATGACCTTTCAGTGAGAGATGTTGTTTTCAGACATTTAATTAGTCTGAAAAGCATACTTAAAAATGGACACACTGTTCATTTCAGCTAACATGTCGCATTACAAATTCACTGCAGAACTCATGGTGAGAAACAAAATATTAACAAAGACCATTATGGCAGATGGTGTGAAGGATGAGACACCATAGGAAGTGAAATAAGGTTCTTCATTCCAACTGGAAAGTAGATCACTGGGTTCCGATTTTAGATAGGCATCTATACAAATACCGTCAGCAACACACACATTAATAGCACTAATGTCTTTTACATCATCTCTAGTGTTACAAGTCATGTTGGTAAAACAGCTGCAGTGAAAATTTTCATGAAATTCTTGCAAGTCATTATGTGTGGGTTTTCCATGCACAATGTACTTTCCACCTTTCCCAATTTGAATAGCAAAACTCGCTGGGTTCAGATGAAGATGGTCACTTGAATTCCAGTTTTTCCTTGTACACACGCCTTTTTCCTGGCAAAGCACTTGGTTACACATTTTGGCAGCTAGGGAGACATTGATTACATAAGGAATCAGTGTAGTCTGCATGTAGTCCTCTAGGTTCAAGCAAGGTTTCTGTAAAATTATAAGATAGTCACAATATGAAAGGACAAGTTAGTTCATATATGAATTCACTGCAATAAACAGTTTTTAAGGAAGAACAAAAAATAGACACAGCAAGAAGTAGGGAATATTTTATCTTTTGTACCTTAATAGGCAATATTATTCCAACTATTTTTTCTAACATTTGTAAGTTTGCTGCACATGCCGATTCATGCCACTGAATAATTGACCAGTTGAGGCTTTACATACCCTAGCCTCGATCTTCCTTAATAATTTATAAGCTACTCATGTTAGCATATGGCCTCTGGTGTCCGTTTTATCTGATTGGAGTCCCAGTTCTGTTAGTGACCACCTGTATGAATTTAGGAATTTCTCAAGCTTTCTAAGTCTTACTTTCTTATCTGGGTGACGTGGGCAAACTAATTAACTTGGTTATGCTTCAGCTTCACTATCTATTAGATAAAAGTAATTATGGCACTTACCTCATAAGGGTTGTTGTGAAGATGAAAAGATATGATACATATAAAAGTGCTTAA